GTTTGTGATTGAGCGAGTCTGGGAATGAGTGAGTGAGTGAGTGACTGACTCTCTGACTGAATGAGTGAGTGAGTGGTTGCATGTGTGATTGAGTTGGCGTTTGTGCCAGTGAGGCGGCCATAGATTGAATGTTTTTGTTTTGTGTGCGTGTGCGTGTGCATGTGTTTGTGATTGATCGANGATTGATTGAGTGTGTGGTGTGTGCTGGTTGGTTTGAATGTGTACATGAGAGCACTTTCGGATTGTCACACTACTCACTTTCTTCCGGAGTTGTGGTAGTCTCAGGTGTGGTCGTGGTTTCAGTGGTAGCTGGAATTGGAGCAGAACATGGTAAATAGCATTGTCAGATATATGTGAGAAAAGAAAGTGAGTGGAATTGATTGGACGATGGTGGTGAACGGGAGTGTGATTGTTCGCGTGAGTGATTGGTTGCGTTTGTGGCTGAGTATGAGATTGATTGCGTTTGTGATTGAGCGAGTGCCCTAATGAATTAGTGAGTGATTGAGCTAGCGTGTGATGGCATGTGTGATTGAGTTGACGTGTGTGCGAATGAGGAAGCGATAGATTGAATGTTTTTGTTTTGTGTGCGTGTGCGTGGGCGAGTGCGTGCGCTTTTGCGTGTGTATGTGTTTGTGATTGATTGAGTGTGTGGTGTGTGCTGGTTGGTTTGAATGTGTACATGAGAGCACTTTCGGATTGTCACACTACTCACTTTCTTCCGGAGTTGTGGTAGTCTCAGGTGTGGTCGTGGTTTCAGTGGTAGCTGGAATTGGAGCAGAACATGGTAAATAGCATTGTCAGATATATGTGAGAAAAGAAAGTGAGTGGAATTGATTGGACGATGGTGGTGAACGGGAGTGTGATTGTTCGCGTGAGTGATTGGTTGCGTTTGTGGCTGAGTATGAGATTGATGGCGTTTTTGATTCAGAGTGTGCTGGAATGTGTGAGTGAGTGAGTGCCTGACTGACTGACTGAGTGAGTGAGTGAGTGGTTGCATGTGTGATTGAGTTGGCGTTTGTGCCAGCGAGGCGGCCATAGATTGAATGTTTCTGATCTGTTTCGGCGTGCGTGTTTATGTGTTTTTGATTGATTGAGTGTGTGGTGTGTGCTGGTTGGTTTGAATGTGTACATGAGGGCACTTTCGGATTGTCACACTACTCACTTTCTTCCGGAGTTGTGGTAGTCTCAGGTGTGGTCGTGGTTTCAGTGGTAGCTGGAATTGGAGCAGAACATGGGAAATGGCATTGTCAGATTTGTGTGAGAAACGAAAGCGAGTGAAATTGATTGGACGATGGTGGTGAACGGGAATGTGATTGTTCGCGTGAGTGATTGATTGCGTTTATGGCTGAGTATGAGATTGATTGCGTTTGTGATTGAGCGAGTGGTGGAATGAGTGAGTCAGCGTGTGACTGATTGAGTGCTTGAGTTTTTGCCTGTGTGATTGAGTTGACGTGTTGGCGAATGAGGCAGCGATAGATTGAATGTTTTCCTTTTGTGTGCTTTTGCGTGTGTATGTGTTTGTGATTGATTGAGTGTGTGGTGTGTGCTGGTTGGTTTGAATGTGTACATGAGAGCACTTTCGGATTGTCACACTACTCACTTTCTTCCGGAGTTGTGGTAGTCTCAGGTGTGGTCGTGGTTTCAGTGGTAGCTGGAATTGGAGCAGAACATGGTAAATAGCATTGTCAGATATAAGTGACAAACGAAACCGATTGGAATTGATTGGACAATGGTGGTGAACGGGAGTGTGATTGTTCGCGTGAGTGATCGATTTCGTTTGTGGCTGAGTATGAGATTGATTGCGCTTCTGATTGAGCGAGTGCGGGAATGAATGAACGAATGAGTGAATGAGTCAGTGGGTAAGAGCTTGCGTGTTTGCATGTGTGATTGATTTGACGTGTGTGCGAATGAGGCAGCGATAGATTGAATGTTTTCGTTTTTTTGCGTGTGCGTGTGCGTGTGCGTGTGTACGTGTTTGTGATTGATTGAGTGTGTGGTGTGTGCTGTTTGGTTTGAATGTTTACATGAGAGCACTTTCGGATTGTCACACTACTCACTTTCTTCCGGAGTTGTGGTAGTCTCAGGTGTGGTCGTGGTTTCAGTGGTAGCTGGAATTGGAGCAGAACATGGTAAATAGCATTGTCAGATATATGTGAGAAAAGAAAGTGAGTGGAATTGATTGGACGATGGTGGTGAACGGGAGTGTGATTGTTCGCGTGAGTGATTGGTTGCGTTTGTGGCTGAGTATGAGATTGATTGCGTTTGTGATTGAGCGAGTGCGGGAATGAATGAGTGAGTGAGTGAGTGAGTGACTGACTAACTGAGTGAGTGAGTGAGTGGTTGCATGTGTGATTCAGTTGGCGTTTGTGCCAATGACGCGGCCATAGATTGGATATATTTGTTTTGTGTGCGTGTGGGTGTGTATGTGTTTGTGATTGATTGAGTGTGTGGTGTGTGCTGGTTGG